CCAAGACCTTGCTACTGAGGATGGAAAGGAAACATCTTTAAGACGTTTTCCTCCTGCTCCAGCCAGCGCCCAGCCAGGGGTCCGTAAAGCACGAGTCTCGTCCAGGGCTCCCTGATAGCGAGCCGAGCTCTGCTGTGTGCTAACCCACAGCCTGCGCACCATTCCACAGGGAAAACCACGCAGGGAGACGCAGTGCTCTCTCTGGCTTTAACCTTTCAGTGAAATTTCGGGGAGTAAAGGCTTCCTGGTCACTCTCAGCTGGGTCTGTTGTTTTAATCAGCTCCTCTGCCCCAGGCAGGGCAGCCCACTCTCCAGAACAGCCGAGCTCCTGATGGAAATGAGCACTCCAACAGCCACAGTGTTGCTGTTTTCTGTTGTTGCAGGTTCATACCTAAGTAAGCAAGTGTCTCTTCTCTCTTAGCTTCTTCTCACCCATCGGATGTTGATGGTAACTGTTAACTTTATCACAGCACTGTGTTACAGGGCCTCAGAGGAGAGTGAAGTTCACCCCAGGACTTACTTGGCATCTTCTTCAGGGGAAAGGAAGTAGTTTTGGTAGCGTGCAGGACAGCTACCTTAAGTGTGCTGGAAGGGTGACTTTGTTACTGTCTATCTTTGAGATTAAGTAGGGTAGGAGACATGTGTGGCTGTCAAATTGACAAGGGGTGCACAGTGATAGTTTTCCAATGTGTCAGTTTAGAATGTAGTCAGATAGACTACAATCTCTAGTTACTCAATACACACCAGTCTAGAAGTTGCTATGCAGGCATTTTATAAATGTGACAAGTTCATGATCAGTTAACAAACACTCAATACCATGAAAGAAAGAGGAGATGTCATTATAGAGTACAAACACATTGAAACAATAACATGGAAGGATTATGAATAATCTTTCTCTTTTTCTTTTTTGACAGGCAGAGTTAGACAGTGAGAGAGAGAGAGAGAGAGAGAGAGAGAGAGAGAGAGAGAGAGGTCTTCCTTCTGTTGGTTCACCCCACAAATGGCCGCTACGGCCGGCGCTGTGCTGATCTGAAGCCAGGAGCCAGGTGCTTCCTCCTGGTCTCCCATGAGGGTGCAGGGCCCAAGCACTTGGGCCATCCTCCACTGCCTTCCCAGGCCACAGCAGAGAGCTGGACTGGAAGAGGAGCAACTGGGACAGAACCGGAGCCCCAGGTGGAGGATTAGCCTAGTGAGCCGTGGTGCCGCCCCCAAGTCATTTTATGAAGCTACATTACTTTAATACCAACACCAGGCAAAAGATATCACAAAATAATTAATCTTGAGACCATTACCCCTCCCAACTAGACATATGGGAGTCGGTGTTGTGGTGCAGTAGGTTAGCCACTCCCTGTGATGCCAGCATCCCATATAGGTGCCGGTCAGAGTCTCAGCTTTTCAACTTCCTGCTAATGTGCCTGCAAAAGCAGCAGAAGGTAGTCTAAGTGTTTTGGCCCCTACTACCCATGTGGGAGACCTGGCTCTTGGCTTTAGTCAGTCCAGCCCAGCCCAGGCTGTTGCAGCCATTCAGGGAGTGAACTAACAGGTGGAAGACCTCGCTCCTCCTCTCTGTAACTCTGCATTTAAAATAAATAATAAATCTTAAAAAAAAATTCTTAGCTGATACAGCTAGGAATTTATAAAAAGGATAAATACATTATGACCATGTGGAGTTTATTTCAGGAATGAAAGGCTGTTTTAATGATAAAAACATTGTTGTAAGTGGGCCAGTGCTGTGGCTTAGTAGGTTAAGCCTCTGCCTGCAGCACTGCATCCCATATGGGTGCTGGTTCATGTCCTGGTTGCTCCTCTTCCAATCTAGCTCTTTGCTGTGGCCTGGGAAAGCAGAGAAGATGGCCCAAGTCCTTGGGCCCCTAGACCCACATGAGAGACCCAAAGGAAGCTCCTCGCTCCTGGTTTTGGATTGGCTCAGCTTCTGCCGCTGTGGCCATTTGGGGAGTGAACTAGTGGATGGACTCTCTCTGTTAACTCTGCCTCTCAAATAAATAAATAAAATCTTGAAAAAAAATTGCTCTAAGTGACACTACTACTAATAGACTGAAAAAGAAAAAAAAACACATACACAATTATCTCAATAGATACAGGAAAAGTATCTGACATTATTCAACAGTCATTCTCTGTAAACTATAAATAAAAGGGAACCTCTTCAGCCCATAAGGGGCATATATGAAAAACATCACAGCAGGGGTGGCCCTGTGGCACAGTAGGTTAATCCTCCGCCTGTAGTGCCAGCATCCCATATGGTTGCCCCTCTTCCAATTCAGCTCTCTGCTATGGACTGGGAAGCAGTAGAAAATGGCCCAAGTGCTTGGGCCACTGCACCCGCATGGGAGACCAGAAAGAAGCACCTGACTCCTGGCTTCGGATTGGTGCAGCTCCGGCCATTTCAGCCATCTGGGGAGTGAACCAATGGAAGGAAGACCTTTCTCTCTGTCTCTCCCTCTCACTGTCTGTAACTCTACCTCTCATATAAATAAATAAAATCTTAAAAAAAAAAAAAGAAAAACATCACAGCTGCATTATACTTACTGGTGAGCACTTTCCCTTTAAAATTGAAATCATGTTAATAGCTGCTTTTATCGCTTCTATCCAATATTGTCTTAGCCACTGCAGTAAGTCAAGAAAAACAAATAAATGGCATCCAGATTTGAAAGAATTTGAAGAAGGTAAACTAACTTTATTTGTAGACAACATGATTACCTATATAGAAAATCCTTTGGAATCTACCAAAAAACAAATAAATGAGTTTAACAAAGTCACTGGATTCTGGTCCACACTTGAAAATCAACTATGTTTATACATCCTGGACATTAATAAAAAATTGAAGGTTTAAAAAATTTAATGACCTAAAAATATGAAATTTCCAAATATTAATTTAACCAAATATAGGGCCGGTGCTGTGGCATAGCGAGTAAAGCCGTTGTCTATAGTGCGGACATCCCATATGGGCTCCAGTTCAAGTCCTGGCTGCTCCATTTCCGATCCAGCTCTCTGCTGTGGCCTGGGAAAGCAGTAGAATATGGCCCAAGTGCTTGGGCTCCTGCACCCACATGGGAGACCCAGAAGAAACTCTTGGCTCCTGGCTTCAGACAGGCCCAGCTCCAGCCATTGTGGCCATCTGGGGAGTGAACCAGCGATTGGAAGACCTCTCTCTGCTTCTGCCTCTATGTAATTCTGCCTTTCAAATAAATAAATATTTTTTAAAAATTTAACCAAATATGGGGAAGAGCTGTTCACTGGGAAATACAATAAATAGAGAGCTCTACTATGTTCATAGATGAAATAACAATATTCTAAAGATACCAACTCTCTCCAAATTGATATATTGATCCCATGTAATTCTAATCAAAATCCTAGCAGGTATTTTTGTAGATATGGACAAGATGGTTAAGAAATTTATTTGCAAATTCAAAGGACATAGGAAATGACTTTAAGTAGGAGGATGTGTATTTCCTGATTTCAAGATTTACTATAAAATATAATAATAAAGACAATGTGATACTGGTTTAGGGTAAGATAGAAAGATACCTTGGGATAAGGAACCCAGATTATAGGTTCAAACACATAAGGTCAACAAACTGTTTACAAAAATGTTAAATTACTCCACTTGAGAAAGAATAGTCTTAACAAATAGTGCTGGAACATTTGGATTTTCACATGCAAAAAGAATAAAAGACCTTCAATCCTTACCTCAGCATTATATACAAAAGACTTGAAATGGGTCACAGAACAAAATATAAAAGCTAAAACTAGAAAACAACCTGAAGCAAGCACAGAAGAAAATCATTGTGATCTTGAAGTTAGAAAAATATTTCTTAAATACCATACCAATAGCATCATGACCCATAAGAGATAAACTTGGGGCTGGCTTTGTTGCACAGTGGGTTAAGCTACCACTGCTGACATATGCAACAATATGGATGCATCTCAGAAGGGTTAGGCTGAATGAAGACACAGAAGGCTACATTCAGAAACGTTCTACGTTTTGACTGTCTTGCTATTCACACAGTTGTACACATTTGTCAAAACTCAGATTGTACAACAACATGATCATAGGGGACTTCAAAAAGTTCATAGAAAAATGAATCGGCCGGCGCCGCGGCTCACTAAGCTAATCCTCCGCCTAGCGGCGCCGGTATACCGGGTTCTAGTCCCGGTAGGGGCGCCGGATTCTGTCCCGGTTGCCCCTCTTCCAGGCCAGCTCTCTGCTGTGGCCCGGGAGTGCAGTGGAGGATGGCCCAGGTGCTTGGGCCCTGCACCCCATGGGAGACCAGGAAAAGCACCTGGCTCCTCGCTCCTGCCATCGGATCAGCGCGGTGCGCTGGCCGCAGCGCGCCGGCCGCGGAGGCCATTGGAGGGTGAACCAACGGCAAAGGAAGACCTTTCTCTCTGTCTCTCTCTCTCACTGTCCACTCTGCCTGTCAAAAAAAAAAAAAAAAAAAAAAGATGGCATGGGTTTCAAAAAATTTTTTGCACCAAAAGAAACAGATTTTTTATTCCACTTTCCATGAACTTTTTGAAGTACCCGTGATTATTAAGAAATACAAGAGGGTGATGAACATGCAATTCAGAATAGTGGTTTCCTTGGGTAAAGGGAGGGAAAGAAATTGTATGGGAGGAAATAGCAGATAAGTAGATGTCAATTATTGTTAAAATTCCCAGATTGGTTGTTCCACATATGTTTATTATACTATTAATACTGACACAAAAACCAGAAAGAATATTATGAATGGATAATGAGATGGGCAATTTAAAAGCCAAAAATGACTCAATTGAATACTGTACTCCTGATGTCCAAATTATAAAAAAGAAACTAGGTCAATATTGAAAATGATTTTTAGTGTTAACTAGTTTAGAATATGTCACTCAAAATGATTACTCATTTCTTAAAAAGCTTGACTTTACTCTGATATTCAAGAGATGAACTCTTTAAAAAAGTAAATAACTTCCTAAGCCCGACTATGAGATAGGCTAACACTCACCCAAGGGTTCTACCAGTTGATCAACTAGTCCCATCTTCTTTGCTCTGTCTGCACGAATGCTTCTACCAGTCAGCATCATGTCAAAAGCAGCAGGCACACCTACCTATCAGGCAAGCAAAGATCACATTATAGAGGAAAAAAAAAAAATCAGAGTAACGATTATAGTTTACTAACACTCAAATGACTAAATGTTAAAATAAGAAATTTGGGGCCAGCCCTGATGGCACAGTGGGCAAAGCGGCCGCCTGCAGTGACGGCATCCCAGACGGCTGTTGCTTCGATCCTGGCTGTTCCATCTGGGGAGTGAACCAGCGGATGTAAGACCTCACTCTCTGTCTCCCCTTCTCTAACTCTGCCTTTCAAATAAATAAATAAATAAATCTCTCTTTAAAAAAAATGCTGAACCAGATTTTATCTCTTAGATTTACCATGAAATATGGACCAAGGAACAAACTGTAAGTTTCAGAAAAGACATATTTCTTATTTGTCACCCTTTCAGAGACTAAAAAAGGACTCTGATCAATAATTCCTGGTGAGGCTGGCATACAGAGGATTAAGCTGCCAGTTGCAACACTGGAATCCCATATCAGAGTGCCAGTTCAAATCCTGGCCACCCTAATTCTGATCCAGTGTCCTGGGAAGGCAGTGGAACATGGGAGACCAAGATGGTGCTCCTGGCTCCTGGCTTTGGCCTGGCCTAGACCTGGCTGTTATAGCCATCTCGGGAGTGAACCTGTGGATGGAAGATTTCTCTCTCTCTGTCTCACCTTGTCATTTTGCCTTTCAAATAAATAAATATTAAAAAAAAAAAAGTTTTTGTGGAATTGATAAAACTTATACCAAGAATAAAAATCTGTCATTGATCCTATGTAATCATATATTATTTGAGATTTCAAAATTCTACAATGAAATATTATGCATTTTGTACAAGAGGAAATAGATGTGAAGGGGCAAACGGTTGCTGAAATTCTAAAGTTCACAAAGTGGGAAGGGTCTCAAACTTACCATTTTGGGCAGCCTCTGTGTGCCTCCTGCTCCTGGCAAGATCCCCAGCAAGACTTCAGGGACTCCTAATACTGTTTTTCTATCTTTTATTGCTATTCTGTATTGGCATGAAATGGCAAGCTTCAAACAAATCAAAGAAAATTCAAATGTCAGAAAATGCTTTGATTACTTATAAAGCAGGAATGTACCCCCCCAAATACCCAGGAACTCCTCAGGCTGGCATTTGATGCCTTCCACAATTTACCTTTTCATGTTTTTTTTAAATAACTTTTTCCTGATTTATTAACCTCTTTTTTGGTTAAGGATATCCTCAAAAAACTCTGCTGAAAGTTACAGCTGTTCTCAATATAAAAACGCACAGGTAATTTATCTGGACTCCAAGTAAAGAAGGCCTGTACCCTCTGGAGACACTTTCCAGTTAGGCAGGCCTACCTGTGGTACCCTAGAAGGGTTTGCTCAGACTTGCTTTTGTTCACACCACACCACATGTGAAATGCTTTTTCCACCATTCGTGGATTAATCAACTCCTGCCCATCTTTAGAACCAGCCACAATCTCCTTAGGGCATGTGAGTGTCTAGCATGGAGCCCAGCATGTGATATATGCTCAGCAAATGTTATTTTCTTTTGCTCCTTGTTTTCAGACAAATAGTAACGTGAAGGTGTACTGCTGCTGAACCCACCATGGAACTGGACAGCTTCAATGACAGGAATAGATCTGTACCTCGAGTCCTCCTCCCAGGCAGGATCCACTGATGGCAGCTACGATGGGCTTTGTGGACTTCTCAAGTTTCTCAAACATCTTCTGTCCTTCCTGTGACACCTGTGCTGCTTCTTGAGGGGTTTTGCAAGCGGCTAACATGCTGCAAGGTCCAGGAAAGTGGACAACAGAAAACAAGGGTGAAACGGCAGCCTGTTTTCTCCAGTACCTGTATACTCACCTTATCATCCCCACTCATCTGTCAATATTTGGTAATGCATCTTCAAAGAAGACAAAAATGTTATGTAATGTTTTTCTTCTATAACAAATCACTAGGTTATAAGCTCTGTACATGGAGACATCGTCTGACTTTTTTTTTTTTTAAGATTTATTTATTTATTTGAAAGGCAGAGTTACTGAGAGAAGCAGAGAGACAGGTCTTCCATCTGCTGGTTCACTGCCTAAATGGCTACAATGGCTGGAGCTGGGCCAATCCAAAGCCAGGAGCCAGAAGCTTCCTCCGGATCTCCCACATGGGTGCAGGGGCCCAAGGACTTGGGCCATTGTGGGGAGCAGCTCGGACTAGACTGTTACTGGAATTAAGACTTATTCTATACACCTGCTCTCCCACAATATGGCGCTGGGAGAGAAGAAAACAGCTTCTACACAGCTGCCTCCAGTTCAACCAATAAACTGTAGGACTTGCTCCTGATTGGAGGAGAGCAGCGTACTCGGCGTGTGGGCAGCCGAGTTGGGATTGGCAGAGGAGGACTATAAAGGAGGAGAGAGACGGCATGCACGAGGAACATCTAAGGGGAACATCTAAGGGAACCTGTGCAGCCCCCGAGAGAGCCGGCCGGCGGTGTGCCGCTCCCCTGCGGAAGTGGGGAATGTGGCAGGGGGAACCGCCCTTCCACGGAGGTGGAAGGGACAGTAGCCAACCCGGGAAGAACCAGCAGCAAACCCGGGGAGGGCCGAGCAGACGAAAGAACAGCGCAGGGTCCTGTGTCGTTCCTCCACGAAGACGGGGAGCGACATAATGGTGCCGTGACTCGGATATGAAGCCTAGGCAGGGTTTAGTGTTGCTCCTCCACGAAGAGGGGGAGCGACAGGCCATCTTCTACGGCTTTCCCAGGACCTAGCAGAGAGCTGGATTGGAAGTGGAGCAGCCAGGGCTTGCACTGGTGCCCATATGGGATGCTGGCACTGCAGGCAGTGGCTTTAGCCCCTACACCACAGCGCTAGGTCCACTGGTAAGTGTTTTCAGCATAGGATTACACATTTCACTAACAGGTAGCTATCAGGTAAACAGCAATCAAAATGACAGCCAAAAAAAAAAAAAAAAAAAAAAATCCTTGAAATCCCCCAGTGACTAAAAAATAACAGGTACAATACTGCTGGAATCAATGTACTTTAATTTTAGTTTGCTTCATTTGCCAACTTGTTCCTGAACACACCAAAGATGTGGTGTACTCTGAACTTTTTACGAAGGATGACTAGAGTTTTTATCATTTCATATATTTGGGGTTGCTCAGCTGTCCTCACAGGAGCTGTATGTATTTTCCTGTGGATACTGGTAGCTACAGTCTGCACAGTGCCTCAACAGGCTCAAGTAATTGAGCTAGAAGATCTTTTTTTTTCCCTAAAAATATAAATCAACAAAACATTTGCAAAGTCTAACTACTATACATAAACAAAAATGGATACACAATGTGGAGCAAGGCTTAAAAATACATTAAATACCTAAGTACAACACTGGCTATCATCAAGTAATCACACAAGTAATAACATAATACCTACATTTTAACAGAATTAACAGTTACATTTTTTTTTTTTAAGATTTTATTTACTTGAAAGGCAGAATTATGGGGGAGGAGGAGATAGAGAGAAGGATCTTCTGTACGCTGGTTCATTTCCCAAATGGCCTCAATGGCTGGGGCTAGGACAAGCTGAAGCCAGGAGTCAGGATCTTTATGGTCATCCTCTGCTGCTTTCCCAGGCTCATTAGCAGGCAGCTGGACTGGAAGCAGGGCAGCCAGGATATGAAGCAGTGCCTCTACGGGATGCCTGCGTTGCAAGTAGCTGCTTAACCTGCTATACCACAACACCAGCCCTGTCTGCTAACATTTAGTAATACTGAAGTATCACTTTCTTCAGAAATATGACTTTAAAATTATAAGCAAATTATGTAAGCATACATTCTATCATTAAAAAAAGGGAAAAAGGGGCCAGCATTGTGGTGCAAGGGGTTAGCTGCCGCTTATGATGGCATCCCATAATCACAGCACCAGTTGCATCCTGGCTGTTCCAGTTCTGATCCAGCTCCCTGCTGGTGTGCCTGGGAAGGCAGTGGAAGATGGTCAAGGACTTGAGCCTCTCACCCATGTGGAAGACCTGGATAGAGTTCTTGGTTTTGGTCTAGTCCAGCCCCAGCAGTTGTAGCCATCTGGGGAGTGAACCAGTAGATGGAAGATCACTCTCTCTCTTTGCCTCTCTGTAACTGTATTTCAAATACATAAATACATATATAAATATGTAATATATAAAATACATAATTTATATATATATATGATATATGATATATATATATATATTTAAGACTTCTTTGAAAGTCAATGTTAGAGACAGGGAGAGATAGAGATCTTCCATTCTCTGGTTTACTTCTCAAATGGCTGCAATGGCCAGGGATGGGCCAGGCCAAAGCCAGGAGCCAGGAGCCTCTTCTGGGTCTCGACATATACTATTAATTAAGATAAAAAGTGACTTCAAGTTGACTAAAACTTACTTGATATCAGCACCTGCCACAAAGCAGCCAGGCTTTGATGAGATAAGGACGGCACTTCTGATTTGATCACTAGCCCAGATTTCATTCATTACTTCTATGAATTCTGACTGTAATTCTTTGTTCAGTGTATTTACCTGCAAAGAGAAATAGATAAACCTAGGCATTTAAATTTGAACTAAAAGATGTATGCATGATGAACAAATACTATTTTGATTATGGCAAATGAATATACTGTTAGAAGCAAGAAAAAGAAGCCAAAAACTAAAACCCCAAATTCACTAGCTTTCTGATCAGGCAGCTTTGGCCAACTCCAACCATCTCCCATCTCTTCCTTAAAAAGTAGGTCTACTCTAGGAGGAAGCACCTGGCTCCTGGCTTCGGATTGGTGCAGTGTGCCGGCCATAGTGGCCATTTGGGGGGTAAACCAATGGAAGGAAGACCTTTCTCTCTGTCTAACTCTGCCTGTCCAAAAAAAAAAAAAGCAGGTCTACTCAAAGCAGAAACTTGGAAGTTACATTTCCTTTTTTTTTTTTTTTTTTGGACAGGCAGAGTGGACAGTGAGAGAGAGACAGAGAGAAAGGTCTTCCTTTTTCATTGATTTCCATCCCCAATGGCCACTGCGGCCGGCACACCACACTGATCTGAAGCCAGGAGCCAGGTGCTTCTCCTGGTCTCCCATGGGGTGCAGGGCCCAAGTACTTGGGCCATCCTCCACTGCACTCCCTGGCCACAGCAGAGAGCTGGCCTAGAAGAGGGGCAACCGGGACAGAATCCGGCGCCCCGACCGGGACTAGAACCTGGTGTGCCGGCGCTGCAGGGGGAGGATTAGCCTAGTGAGCCGCAGCGCCGGCCGAGGTTACATTTCTAAGAGTTTTAACTGTATGCAAATTATAAACAGGTCTACAAACACTTTTTGGTATGGACAATGTTTGGATAACGTTAAAAAAAAATCAGATTTACAGCATGACTTTAGCTTTGTAAGTACTATCTGTTGAAACTAGAGTGGATTTTGGGCCACCGCCGTGGCTCACTTGGCTAATCCTCCGCCTGCGGCATCCCATATGGGCACAGGTTCTAGTCCTGGTTGCTCCTCGTCCAGTCCAGCTCTCTGCTGTGGCCCAGGAAGGCAGTGGAGGATGGCCCAAGTGCTTGGGCCCTGCACCCGCATGGGAGACCAGGAGGAAGCACCTGGCTCCTGGCTTCGGATCGGTGCAGTGCACTGGCCACAGCAGCCATTTGGGGGGTGAACCAACGGAAGGAAGACCTTTCTCTCTGTCTCTCTCTCTGACTAACTCTACCTGTCAAATAAGTAAAAAAAAAAAAGAAAAGAAACGAAACGAAACTAGAGTGGATTTGGATGACAAATTATCATGTATTTTCTCTTTTTTTTTATTATAAGGACAGAAAGGGTAGTGTTGTCCGAGAGAGAGGAAAGGATGTCTTTTGACCGGAACCTAAAAGTGTTTTTCGGCTCGGGGTGGAGGGGGTGGGATTTTTTTTTTTTGACAGGCAGAGTGGATAGTGAGAGAGAGAGACAGAAAGGTCTTCCTTTGCTGTTGGTTCACCCTCCAAAGGCCGCCGCGGCTGGCGCGCTGTGGCCAGCACACTGCGCTGATCCGAAGCCAGGAGCCAGGTGCTTCTCCTGGTCTCCCATGCGGGTGCAGGGCCCAAGGACCTGGGCCATCCTCCACTGCACTCCCAGGCCACAGCAGAGAGCTGGCCTGGAAGAGGGGCAACAGAATCCAGCACCCCGACTGGGACTAGAACCCGGTGTGCCAGCGCCGCAGGCAGAGGATTAGCCTAGTGAGCTGCAGTGCCGGCCATATTTATTCTTTATAATTTATTACATTTTAAAATTTCTTACCATAGGTGTGTAATATTGTTGTGTCTAGGAAAAATGCTTATCTTTAAAAAAAGAGATTTATTTATTTATTTATTTGAAAGGCAGAGTTAGAGAGAGGGACAGGGAATATCTTCCATTTGCTGGTTTACTCTCCAAACAGCCACAACAGCCAAAGCTGGGCTGATCCAGATCCAGGAGCTGGAGCTTCTTCTGGGTCACCCACGTGGGTGCAGGGGCCCAAGGACTTGGGTCACCTTCTGTTGCTTTTCCCATGCCATTAGCAGGGAGCTGGATCAGAAGTAGAGCAGTTGGGACTCAAACTGGTGCCCATATGGGACGCCAGCACTGCAGGCAGTGGCTTTACCTGCTATGCCACAGCGCTGGCCCCAGAAGAATGCTCATCTTCAGAAAATTCTTTAGAAATATCTGAAGCTTTAGGCCGGCGCCGTGGCTCAATAGGCTAATCCTCCACCTTGCGGCGCCGGCACACCGGGTTCTAGTCCCGGTCGGGGCGCCGGATTCTGTCCCGGTTGCCCCTCTTCCAGGCCAGCTCTCTGCTATGGCCAGGGAGTGCAGTGGAGGATGGCCCAGGTGCTTGGGCCCTGCACCCCATGGGAGACCAGGAAAAGCACCTGGATTCTGGCTCCTGCCATCGGATCAGCGCGGTGCGCCGGCTGCAGCGGCGGCCATTGGAGGATGAACCAACGGCAAAGGAAGACCTTTCTCTCTCTGTCTCTCTCTCTCACTGTCCACTCTGCCTGTCAAAAAAAAAAAAAAAAAAAAAGAAATATCTGAAGCTTCACTCATTGGCTAACAGGCACTAAGATTTACTCTAGTGCCAGGGAATGTTTATGCTTTCCTTCCTCTGTGTGAGTCATCAATTGCTTCTATCTAAGCATAATATTGAGGGTCTTCTTTGATTTCCAGTGTGGGAATTGTACTGAGTCATCTGGATCACTCAGCAAGCCTGAGGGCCACCGTCAACATTTAACCAGGCAATGAACCATGAATGACATCCGCCAGGCGGGCAATGAGGAGGGGCTTGATAACTTCGTAGATAAGATGGGGAGGTGAATTCTGACTCTCAGAGATAGTTTGTATCGTGGTGCTCCTCCTAATTCTGAGGCAGAAAGCTAGTTTTACTAACTCCTGATGGTAATCTGACACCCAAGGTCAACAAGAAGGAATTCTTGCACTAGGAATTCTGCTTCAGAAAAGTGCTCTCTTTGGGCAACATGTCAATTGCTGACTAATTTGATTATCGAAATTACGGATCCATGTGATAAAATCACTACCACACTGGAGGGTTTCTTTCTTTCCCATTCAGGACTGGATTTACAAATGCAGTTAGTAGCAATAAATTGCAGCAAGTTAAATAAGGTACCTTTGAATTGGGCGAATTAATTCTAATAACGGCCACGTCCCCTTTGACTCCATAGTTAACATGGGTTCTGGCTAAAAAGAGAAGAAAATTTAATTCACAAACATGTTTATTCCAAAATAAATCTAAAAAGCAACATAAGTATGTCAACAAGCAATTACACTTACTCAGCAAAGCGGAAGACCCTGTGAAGTTACGGCAAATATAACCTGTAAGAAAAGGGTATTTCAAAATTAATTATTTTACAGAACATAATTTCTGTGACACTTGGTGCATATAACAAAGCTGGGATTTATAACTCAACAAAACTCCAAAAACAGATCAATGTATTCTAGGCCTTTATTTGTGACTACTACCCTCTCTATTTCATTTCATTATCAAGGCCATATGCTTATTCAGATACTAAACAAGGTAGGCAGAAGTTGTCCATGTCCCTGGAAGCTGAGAATATTTTAGGTTACATAGCAAAGAGGGATTCAGGCTGCTAATCAACCGGTCTTAATATAAGGAGATTACTGTGGATTATCCAGGTGGACTCAGTGTATCACAAAGGGGAGACAAAAAGCTACAGGTATGGCAGTGTAAGAAAGACATGGGCATGTTACCAGCTCTGGAGAAGGACAAAGTCAAGAAATGCAGGCAGCTTCTAGAAGCTAGACAAAAATGTAAGGTAATGGATCTTCCCCTAGAGTATCCAGAATGAACACAGCCCTACGAACACCTTTAATTTCAGCCCAGTGATATCCCTGGGTTAGACTTCTGATCTCCCTGAGATAATAAATTTTCTTTTAAAAAAAAATTTATTTATTTGAAAGTCAGAGTTACACACAGAGAGAAGGAGAGAGAGAGAGAGAGAGAGAGAGAGAGGTATTCCATCTGCTAGTGTACTCCCCAGTTGGCTGATCTGGAGCCAGGAGCCAGGGAGCTTCCTCCAGGTCTCCCATGCAGGTGCAGGGGCCCAAGGACTTGGGCCATTTTCTACTGCTTTCTCAGGCCATAGCAGAGAGTGGGATCGGAAGTGGAGCAGCCGGGACTAAACCAGCACCCATATGAGATACTCGCACTGCAGGTGCCAATCCCATTGCCCAATTGTCTTAGGGAAAATTTTCTACCTATGGTTCTAAAAATAAAACCAAACCATCCTTTTTTTTTTTTTTTTTGACAGGCAGAGTGGAGAGTGAGAGAGAGAGACAGAGAGAAAGGTCTTCCTTTGCTGTTGGTTCACCCTCCAATGGCCGCCGCATAGCCGCCGCACCGCACTGATCCGATGGCAGGAGCCAGGTACTTATCCTGGTCTCCAATGGGGTGCAGAGCCCAAGTACTTGGGCCATCCTCCACTGCACTGCCTGGCCACAGCAGAGAGCTGGCCTGGAAGAGGGGCAACCGGGACAGAATCCGGTGCCCCGACCGGGACTAGAACCCGGTGTGCCAGCGCCGCAAGGCAGAGGATTAGCCTAGTAAGCCGCGGCACCGGCCCAAACCATCCTTTAATTGCTTGGTAGCTGTACAAATGAAATACTTGTACCCAGGAGAAGGCATATATATATATCTTAAAATAACATCAAATATAATAAAGAACTCATACTTTAATACTATGCAGTTCTTCCTTCATGCATCTCCTAGTAGCACTAGCTTTTTCCAAGTAGGCTAATTTTCAACTAGTAACATAAAAACTTTTTCTTTTAAAATCTTTATTTTCATTTTTATCTGAAAGGCAGAGAAATGGAGACAGAGAAAGATTTTCCATTTGCTTGCTCACTCCCTAAAAGCCTGCAACAGCCAGGCTGAAGCTAGGAGCCCAGGATTCAATCCAGGTCTCCCACATGGGTGACTGAGACCCAAGCTTTTGAGTGCACTTGGAAGGCACACACACACACACACACACACACACGACAAAAATGTGTCTTCATGGAGCTTACATTCCTGAGCAGCAGAGGATATAATCTGTGGGAAGAATCAGCTCCTACTCAGGGGAGATGAGGTGAACTGAAGGTGGAAATGAAGTAGTGGAAACAGACCTGGCATAAAAAAGGATTTGCCTGTAAGCTGAAATTCTAGTGGGAAGCTAGGCAGAGGACAGGTAACTCTCACTGGAACAAGGTAAAGTGTATCAGAGCAGGAACTGACCAACGGGGAACGCAGGTTGGAAGTGTTGAGGTGGACAGGTAAAAACCAAGAAAAATAAATATGTAAAGCAAGCATGCTAGAGAGGCAGGCATTGTTGGTGCAGTGGATAAAGCCACTGCCTGCAAACTGGCATCCCATATGGGCGCTGGCTCGGAGTCCCAGCTGTTCCACTTCTGAACCATCTCCCTCTAATGGTTTGGGAAAAGCAGTGGAAGATGGCCCAAACATTTGGGGTCCCTGCCACCCACATAGTAGAAGGGTATGAGGTTCTCAGCTCCTGGCTTTGACCTGGCTTCAGCCTGGCCTGGCCCACCCCTGACTACTGCAGACATCTGGGGAGTGAACTAGCAGACAGAAGCTTTCTCTGTGTATCTCCCCTCTCTCTGTGACTCTTTAAAAAAGAAAGCACAGATAAACGCCTAAGCATGAAGAGAAACCAGAATGCTCATGAGCTGCAAGGTAAGGATCACATATTTGAGACAACAGGTTGGTGCTCATCAGCCTACAGTTTAAGCCATTTTAACTCTTTCCCCCTAACATACCCTTGCTGCACACACCCCCACATATAACTTCTTCTAAATCAATAGAGACAAGAGGAGGGGAGAGAGGAGAGACTCAGTAAATACACAAACATGTTCAGAAAAGAACTCCAAACCACAATTAGATAACACGGAAGCTTGGCTTTGGCCATCTAGACTTAACCTTCAACCAAACAGCAAAGCTGACTCCACAGCAGCTGTGTGAACTCTGGCCTACATCTACTGGGCCAGCCAAGGAGAAAGAAACCTTTGGCCTACTTTTTAATCATTGCTGTGATGTAACTAAAAAAAAAAAAAAAAAAGGCCGGCGCCGTGGCTCAATAGGCTAATCCTCCACCTTGCGGCGCCGGCACACCGGGTTCTAGTCCCGGTCGGGGCGCCGGATTCTGTCCCGGTTGCCCCTCTTCCAGGCCAGCTCTCTGCTATGGCCAGGGAGTGCAGTGGAGGATGGCCCAGGTGCTTGGGCCCTGCACCCCATGGGAGACCAGGAAAAGCACCTGGATCCTGGCTCCTGCCATCGGATCAGCGCGGTGCGCCGGCTGCAGCGGCGGCCATTGGAGGGTGAACCAACGGCAAGGGAAGACCTTTCTCTCTGTCTCTCTCTCTCACTGTCCACTCTGCCTGTCAAAAAAAAAAATAAAAAAAAATAAAAAAAAAAAATCCTCTAAGATCTCCTAAGACTACAGGCAGTGCAGAGCTGGGTTATGCTGACACCAATTTCAAATTTGAAAATGTCACTTTGGTCATTCACAATCAACAGCTTTTCTCAAAATTCAAGAAGGGACGGGATTAAGTTAGTGAAAGCCAAATTTAAAAATGAGATACCATCGACTAAAGTATCTAAGGTATTTGCCTCTAATTCATTTCCTGTGAAACTATTTTACCACTTAACATAATTAGGAGTTTGGCTTTAGGGTAGGGATGGGAATCAGATAAGGTATCTTGGTCAAGACGAAATTTTCATTTGATAGTCACAATAGTCTTATTTAGAACAGTACACTTGTACAGTGGGAACGCTTTAAAATTTCAAGAATCACAAGTCAATTTTCAGATAATTTAATCACCCACCAATAAATGTCATACATCTATTAAATGTTGGGCAATGTCATGACACAGACCTACAAGGTAAAGTATGAATCCGTTGTGTCGAAATGTGAATCCAGGTGTGCAGGTAATTTTAAATTCATTTTCAAGACATTTTTAATTGCTATTAAGAGAGGCCTTACCAATAACAAGCTACATTTTTTAACTGGGGAAAACACCATTTATGTGCATGCATATGTGTTTATACAGAAAACAGAAAAATTAAGCTGATAGCTTTTTATTACACGTTCAAAATGGAAAAATGTGCTCCAAAAATCTCTCATATATACATAATCATGGTTCTCTGAGGCGGGAGTTAATAATAGCTTATATTTACTGAGTACTTATTCTATGGAAAATTGCTTCAGAATTAGAATAACTCAGGTAGAGTTCAGGAGGTGGCACTATTCTCCATTTTAAGATGACAACACAGACAGATGAACTGCCCAAGGTCACCAGAGGGTGAAAGGCAGAACTAGATTCAAAACCAGAAGTCAGACTCCCAGTCGAATGCCATTGATTGCTATGTCACGCTACTTCTCATGCCAGAGACATTTAGTCTCAATTATTCATTCTGCAAACGGGCACAGATCCCGTCTACATCAGGGTGCGTGTCCAAAGTCACACGGCTTCTTAGTGACTAGACCCCACATGACCTATCATTTCAGCATTTCACAAGCTGCCAGTCCATAGAAACACCTTACAGCCAACGCAGGGGCACAGTCAATGACACGACCCCCCCTCCAAAAGCATGAAGCATGAATGTGGAAAACGGGGTAGGAAACCTGCAAGGAAACACAGCCTAAGGCTAAGGCAGGCACAGACGCTGGAAGATCCCACGTTCTCAACCCCTCCCTGATCTTCAGTGCGTTTCAGTTTTCTGCAATAGGTTTATGCTACGATTGGAATAACACATGACAGTCCTGCGGAGACTAAAAACATGAGTAGAACAAGATTCACGCATTCGACGAATCCCTTTCAGCAAGGGAAGACTCCAGCTACCTGTCTTTAAGAAAATAATAATAATAAAAGCATGCTCCCCCTTGGTTCAGGAGTAAGGAAAGGAATTCATATTACAAATTAAGCTAAAAGTAAAAATGTCTAATTGAGTAACTGACATAACATACAACACGCAATAAAAAGTTACGCCTGACCTTACAGACTTGGGGTGGAAGGAAAAGGCTAGGTTTTAGACAACCACCCACTTTAATCGTTTTAATACCAGCCCGAGGAGAAAAGGACAATATTGTTAATATAGGCTAGCCGGGAACAGTCACAAACAAGACTAGAGCCAGTTCTTTACACGACTTAACATTTTATTCCTTAAGAACTCTAGCTATTTGCATACCTTAAAAATGTCCCTTCCAGTAAGTTCAGAGCCTCAAATTCAACATACTCTCTATCAACACTGTAAGTACTAGAACTGCAAGAGTTATGCTCCCTACTGAAACGTAGAAATAATTTTTTTTAAAAAATGGCTGTGATGTAAAGATTAGGGGAGCGGCCGCGATCTCCTAGGCTGGTATTAAAGACATCCAAGCAGGAAGCAAGTTGCCCGTGGGGGCACAAAGACGCCACAGCCTGGGTCCGGGTGCTCCTGGAGCTCCCAGTCTAGTCGCACCTGGTCTAAGACCAACACCAACGCAAGCAAGAGGGGCGTGAGCCCGCAAGTGCAGCCCGCGAGCCCTGCGGAAAAGGCGCCGTGCCGGGTGAAGAGGACTCAGAAACCCAGGGGCTGCAGAGCCTGACAAGCCCGCAGGACCGACACGGGAGGCAGGAGAGACAGCCCCTCCGCAAGGACACAGCAAACGGGGTCCCAGGGCAGTATCCCCCCGACGAAGGCTGGGCCCCCGGCGACTGCGGGCCCGAAGGAACACCAGGCAGCCGCGGCACGGGGCCGCCCCAGACCCCGGAATTCCACCCTGGTTCGGGGGCACCCTCAAAGAGGGCTCACCTCGGGAGCGGAGGATCCTGAGGCCAGAGAAGCGGCTCAGGCTGCCAATTGCCCGGGAGGCCACCATCTTGAGCTAAGAGGACGAAAAGTGGAAAGCGCTTCTAGCCGGGGCGGAGCGGCAAAGGACTTTTCTTCCCGTGGCCGCGACGCCAAGGCGGCCGAAGCACTGCCTGACTAAAAATCAGAGGCCGGGCTGCCGCCAGCCCCGTAACCCTACGCCTCGTTCCCGCGTAACGGGGCCGGAAGGACGCTTTCTCCGCTGGAGAACAGAGGCCCAGAAAGAAGGGGGCGGAGGGTCGAGTTTTTCCAGTCAGGCGGTCAGTGGGCAGCCTGCGAGGCCTGCCGGGCCCGCGGGCGGGGATGAGGGGGCCTTTCTAGGCAGGACCCGCCCCGGGGTCCTGCACAGTCTTGGTACTTGGATCCGAACCTTGCCCGGAGCGAGAATCCGCGTCGACACCGACTGAGGTGAGCGGCGGCGTGTGCTCGGCTGTGCTTAGAGCGTTTCCCGCAGGCGAGCTCCCGGCCCGCGCCCGCCTCTCGCCCCCGGGAGAGTCGCGGTCGAGCGAGCTGAAGGGAGCTCGGAGGAGGAGGGAGGAAGACGGCACCAGCTGCAGATCGGGCAGGGGTCTGGGTTGGCTCTGAGCCTGTCACCCGCGTCTTCATTTACCACCGCAAGTCGACGAGCTGTTTGCGTGTGTGGGGACCTCAAGCCCGGGCCGTGTTGGGGTGCGTGCCTTGCTCGCCAGCTTCACCCGATTTCGGGGAAGGGCTGGGATGAGGGTGGAAGGAACTGACTCAGCCCTCGGTCCTGCGTGGTGATCCGTTGCTCCGGGGGTTTTCTAACCCAGGAGGGGCCCGGCGATCCTCTGGTCATTCTCTCCCTCACTTTATCGGTGAAGGAACTGAATCCAGCGGATCAGAGTGACTTTATGGCCACAGGTGGTAGAAGTGAGACCAGGGCCCCAGTCTTAACTTCTTCCCGAGAGCTCTGCATCGCGGGACAGCTATTTTGTTGCTGGAAAGGAGACTTGGAATCGTGTTCTAAAGGGAATGGGCCTCAAAAGCAGGTGACACTAGTGGCCTCCTGTAGGGCACCTTGACACCATTTTGTTTAGTTCTCACGATCCCAAAATCATTGTTATCCTTTGCATTTTTCTAAACGAAGTTTGGGAGGCGCGGAGAGAGAATGTAAATTTTTTGGTTCTTGGCAGAGCCGGGATTCAGATTGCCAGGATTCGGATATGAAGCTGAACCCCGCCGAAAGGAGGCTTCTGCGGTGGGAAAGGGCAGGGAACTTAAGATGAAGTCAGATCGTGAGCCCTCGGCCGGCGTTGTGGCACAGCAGGTGCCGCCTGAGGTCCCATTTGGGCGCGAGTTTGAGTCCTGGCTCTCCACCTTCCTGCTAATGGGGCTGGGAAGGCAGCAGGAGGTAGCTCAAGTGCTTGGGCCCCTGCACCCACGGGGAGACCCTGATGGGGCTCCTGGCTTTGCTGGCTTTGGCATGGCCCAGCCTGGGTGTAGTGGCCGTTTAGGGAGTGAGCCAGAAGGAAGATAGATTCATTCCCCACCCCTACCCCCCGCCCACTCTCTGTAATGCTGCTATTCAAATAAAATACATCTTTATTTGAAATGAGTTCTCCAGCTCTGTGAGCCTAGCCTTTTAAACAGAAATTGGATGACCACTTCTGAGTAAATTGTAAGAAGGGTCTTTTTCTTTTTAAGATTTATTTTATTTGGCCAGTGCCGCGGCTCACTTGGCTAATCCTCCGCCTGTGGCGCCGGCACCCTGGGTTCTAGTCCTGGTTGGGGCGCCAGATTCTGTCCCGGTTGCTCCTCTTCCAGTCCAGCTTTGTGCTGTGGCCAGGGAAGGCAGTGGAGGATGGCCCAAGTGCTTGGGCCCTGCACCCATATGGGAGACCAGGAGGAAGTACCTGGCTCCTGGCTTCAGATCGGCGCAGCGCCGGGCATAGCGGCCATTTGAGGGGTGAACCAACGGAAGGAAGACCTTTGTCTCTGTCTCTCTCTCTCACTGTCTAACTCTGCCTGTGGAACAAAAGAAAAAAAAACAGATTTATTTATTTATTTGAAAGGCAGAGTTACAGAGAGGCAGAAGCAGAGAAAGTCTTCCATCTGCTGGTTCACTCCCCAAATGGCCGCAACAGCTGGAGCTGAGCCAATCTGAAGCCAGGAGCCAGGAGCTTCTTCCGGGTCTCCCATGTGGGTGCAGGGGCCCAGGCACTTGGGCCATCTTCTACTGCTTTCCCAGGCCATAGCAGAGAGCTGGATCGGAAGAGGAGCAGCCAGGACTAGAACCGGCACCCATATGGGTTGCCGTCGCTTCAGGCCAGGGCTTCAACCTGCTGCACCACAGCGCTGACCCCAAGAAGGTTTCTTGATGACATCATGAGATTTGGGGGGTTCTGTAGCCTGCCTCCTGCCCACGTAATGCTGTCTTCTGTATCCAGTTGCCTGCAGCCTTGATTACATAGATCAAGAGTAGCAGTTTTTTATGTAAAGGGCCAGATTGCAGTTGGCACTTTGCAAGGGTACGGTTGTCAGTGTAAGATACTGTTTGCTGACAACTCTGGAGGTGTGTACAACTTGCTAGCTAGAGGCCCATGGGTTGTAGCTTGCCAGCCTCTGACATAGATCACCCTCTTGGCTTCACCATTTTATGCCCTGAACTCTCAGCAAAATTGTAAACTCCCTCAGGGCTGAAGTGTTAGAATGTGTCCTGGTCTCTCAGGGGTACTAAGTGTATTTGAATAACCACTGCTAAGATGAAGCAAATACCTGGGTAGCAGCATGTCACGCCAAGTTGTACGTGGCTGCGTATTCACTCATAGCAGCCCTTCCAGGTGGTTAATAAGATTATCTCCATTCATACCTGAAGGCTCCAAGAGGAACGTGAAGCCACACGGTTCTGATGGAGCCAGGATTTGACTTGGCCTGGTTTGAGAGGGTTGCTGGTAGCTATTACATTGTGTCTTGATGATGTTACAATAATGAGCCTTGGCTTCTGCTGCTTGCTTAGCCCCCCCCCCCCCCTTCCTGTGCTCCTTCCAGGTGCCTGCAGCTTCCTGTATCTTTCATAGTTACCGCCCCCCCCCCCCCTTCCCTGGGGTCGGGTCTCCATGCTTTGAATATTCTGGAGGCAGAATTTCTGTTTTCTGCAGCTTTGCAAGTGATGGTCGTGGTCAGTCCTCCCATAGGATAGTTTGTGTTGTTCCTCTGACTTTTGAAATCTCTACTTTTGTTTTAATTCTTTTCTTTCTTAAGATTTATTTTATTTATTTGAAAGACAAAATTACACAGAGTAGTCGAGCCAGAGAGAGGTCTTCCACCCACTGGTTCACTCCCCAAATGGCCGCAACAGCCAGAGCTGAGCTGATCCAAAGCCAGGAGCCAGGAGCTTCTTCCGGGTCTCCCACACGGGTGCCTTGGGCCATCCTCCACTGCTTTCCCAGGCCATAGCAGAAAGCGGGACCGGAAGTGGAGCAGCCAGGACTCAGAACCAGCACCCATATGGGATGCCAGCGCTTCCAGGCCAGGCCTAAATGCTGCGCCACAGTGACAGCCCCTTGTGTTAATTATTGAAGGAATCTGTGTCATGTAAATTTTTTTCCTGGAAACTACAGGAAAGTCTGAAGAAAAGCAATACATCTGTAATTCCACCACTCAGACACTATTGATAGCATCTTCCTGTGTGTTCCTCTGTATAGTTTTCATGCATTTGTATATTTTATACTTACATAAGATAGTAGTATATGTAGAAATGTTAAATAAAACTAGAATTATACTGTACACAAAAGCAAAATGTTGAGTTAAAAAATTAAATTAAAGAGGGACCAGTATTGTGGCTTAGCAGGTTAAGACACCACCCACAGTGCCGGTTTGAGTCCAGCTGCTCCACTTCTTATACAACTCCCTGGTAATGCGCCTGGGAAAGCAGTGGAAGGTGGCCCAACTGCTTGGGCCCCTGCACCCATGTGGGAAACCCAGAAGCTCCTGGCTTCATTGGGACCATTTGGGGGAGTGAAGCAATGGATGGAAGACCTCTCTCTCTTTCATTGCCTTTCAAATAAAACTAAAAAAAAATATTAAATAAAAGCATCTTCTTATTTCTTTCATATCCAGACTTACATCTTTATGGGCTTTGTTTTTTTTTTAAGACTTTATTTATTTGAAAAGTAGAGTTACAAAGAGAGGGGGCTTCATCTGCTGGTTCACTCCTCAAATGGCCGCTACAGTCTGGGCTAGGCCAGACCTGAGCCAGGAGCCAGGAGCATCTTCCAGGTCATGTAATTTTTTATTTATACAGCAGGGAGCTGGATAGGAAGTAGAGCAACTGGGACTCGAACAGGCACTGAAACCTTGACTTTCTTCTTTCTTTCTGTCACAAATGGGATTTTCCTACGCAAATGTCTGCAGCTAGCTTTTTCATTTAATGAATATTTTGGGCCTCCGTCCATATCAGTATGTATATGTATATCATTACATCATATTTTCTTTACAAAATACTGAACGGCATACCATTGTATGTTCACATTATAATTTGTTTTCTATTAGTGTGCATTTAGATCAGTCCCACTTTTCTGTTATGACTGCCTTGGGTATTTCTGTAGGCTAAAGACTTATGTATGCTATGCATACATTTTGAATATTTCTACAGGTTAGAGATCAATAAGGAATTATCCAACTCAGATATTTGCAGTTTAAATTTTGGTAGCTGGCTACAAAATTGTCTTCCAAAAAGTCCATAGCAATTAAACTTCTATCAGCTAGTACATGGAAATGCGTATTTAGTTGAATTCATTCTTGCTAACATTGTATATTAGCCATATTCTTAATTTTTGCCAATCTGTTAACCCCAAATCTTACCTTCTTTAATTTTTGAAGAGTTTCATTGTTAGTGAGGTCGAACATTCTTATGTTGTTTATTTGGCATTTTAATTTCTTCTGTGAATTGTTCATTTGCTCCTTTTTGCTTTTGGTCATATATCAGGAAGGAGCCTTTCAGTTGCAAGTGACAGAAAATTCAAACCAAATCTACTTATTAAAGGGAATTTATTGGCTCATAGCACAATAAGAGGATGGGTTTCAGATGGGAGCCGACCAGAGCACTGATTTCTTTTCCTGAAATTCTTGGCTCTGTCATCTTGT